GGGGTACGTGAGCCGACGGTGACGGAGGATGACGGAGGACGAGAGGATCTGGGAGGCGGTGTGCACGCGCCACTGGGCATTGCTCTGAGAGAGAGAGAGTGTGTGTGCTGAGTGCGTGTCTGAGGAGAGAGAAAGCAAGAAGAGAGAGGGAGGGAGAGTTTCGGACGACTAGTTAACTACACGGGAGTAGTAGTCCCGTGCAGTTCGAAAAATTGCAAAATCAACCGTTTTGAGATGAAAATTGTCGATTTTGCTGTTTTTTCTAAAAAGGTCGATTTTGCTCAATAATTTTGAAAAATGGTTGTTTTTAAAAAATTCTCCTTTCTTTTTCCATCTGAACCGCCCAATGAACTATGTTTTATTGTTGATTGAAGATGTCTTAATTTCTTTCTGATGCATTCATTTCATGGTCTCAACTTTTAGCATATTACTACTCATCCATCTCTACATTCTTATTTTATCGATACTTATCTTTTGACTTATCTTTTGAATGTGTTTTTAAATCTCTGAACATTCTGATCCATGAATCATTGTAGATCACTTAAACTTTTTTTGCCTTCGTTTGTTGGTTTTCAATGATGACATAATGTTCAGAGACTCATTCTTCATTTCAACCACCTTGGTTTGGTTTGTGCTCATCCTTCTCCTCTGTCTCATGAAAGGTCGATACTAAGTACTGAAATTATTACTCAGTAATTCTGACCATCAACATGCACTACACCCTCATTTGTTTTAGTTTGAGGTTCTAGTATTATATTTAATTTGTCATCCTTTGTAAATCTAAATCATTCAGTCTCTAAAATTTCACTGTTTTCTACTTTAAAATTTATCTGTAAATTCATCAAGTAATGCAGTATCAGTCAGCAACATGCACCACAGGATTTCATCCCTCGTACTTAAAGATTCAAGCATTTATCTTTGTTTCTTTCCCTCTTCATTCCCCTTATTTTGTTATCGGTCTTGTAATGAGATGTCATTTCATTGGTTTGCTTGACCAAACTCCAATGCGACAAAAACCTATTGTCATGCAACTATCCAGAGTCAACCAAAAATGTGAAAACTTGTCTGGGAGTTCGTCAGTTTTTGAAATTGCTTAGTGGAAAAGATGATAAAGGAACTTTATGAGGTGAAGGGTAAAAACTTGAGTAAATTCAGCAGCATAAGTAAGACTCAAATTCCTAAGCTAGTATCGCATTTTGCAGAAGCATCCCTCTTTATGTTTTGAGATGTTCAAGTTTTGAACGTAACTTATTTATATTATAGGGAAAATAGATGGTTGTGGAATTATTCTCTGAAATATTTGATGGGATAAAGCACAACTTCCAAAAATGGTGACTTTATGTTTCATATATTAAGTGTAATTTTATCTTGTGTTATTCTTTGCATGGTGGATTTCCTTGTGTTGGATGAATCTGATAAGCTATTCGAGCTTCACTTTGTGAGATAAATAGATTCTATGGTCAAAGCTTGCTCAAATCCTTCCATAATACGTTCTTTATTCAGTGCTACTTTACCTGATTCTGTTGAAGAGCTTGCACCCTCTATTATTCATGATGCTGTTCGGGTGATTGTTGGTAGAAACTAGAAAGTGAGTATAAACACCTGTCTATCTCGTTTGGTTTCTGAAAAAATTTCTCAAGTTCATGAGATTTGTTGCTTTGAGTGTCTGTTTGAACTCTGCATCAGAATTGATTAAACAAAGTGATTTTTGCTGGAAGTGAAAAGGGCAAGCTGATTGCTTTAAGACAAAGTTTTGCAGAGGTATTTTGCCAGTTTATCGCTATTTCCTTTACGAGACATATATAAAGCTTTTAGATGTGGTAAATGAATTTCGGTAAACTATCGTCAAAATTGACCAAAATAACACAGAAACGATTTGTTATTTGCTTTTAATTCCCAGTCATGCTGGCTTTGCTTCTTCGTTGCGTACACAGAGTAGTCTGCATAAATACCTCCACTATGCTGTCTGTTATTTTGTTTGTATACATAGGGGACATGGCGGTTGGCCAATTCTGGTTAATAACTTTGTTTCAATAATGAACTTGAACTTCTAGTGCATTTGTGCGAACCAAAATTTGCTTAAGCGAAGTATGCACGTCATAATACCAGTTTTCGTTGCTGGAAAGAAAACCATACAGTGGGATGCATATTCGTTCATTCTTTCTATTCTTAGTATTAATAAATTCCAAGTTTCTTGTTGATTCTTAACTCGAGAGCTTACTCGCTGATTCTCATGTTATGTTAACTCGCAGTCTCTGAATCCTCCCGTATTAGTGTTTGTCCAAAGCAAAGAAAGGGCAAAGGAGCTCTACAAGGAATTGTCATTTGACAACGTAAAGGCTGATGTGATTCATGCCGATCTTACTCAAGAGCAGGTAACACCTATATGCATTTTTGCACATAAAAAACTATATTTACTGTATGCTTATTCTAGCTTAGTTATTATATTTTCCTTTTTTTCCCCTTCCCAGAGAGAAAATGCAGTTGATAACTTCAGAGCAGGCAGGACGTGGGTTTTAATAGCAACTGATGTCATTGCTCGAGGAATGGATTTTAAGGGTGTCAACTGTGTGTGATTAATTATGACTTTCCTGAGTCAGCTGCAGCGTATATTCACCGAATTGGTAAATCACGCCAGACCTAGCTTACTAAATCATTCTTAAGGTAATTAGCAAGTATCTCTGAAAGTAATATCATTCCATGAACAGCTCCAAATAAGACACATTCTTAAAATAAAATTCAAGTAATTTGATCCAAAACAATAAATGTGCTGTTATTTTTTATTTAAGAAAAATTTGTGCAAATATAATTATTCCCATGCTTTCAAGCACATGCCTCTAAAACTACGCGGTTATCTGTGAGAAGGCTAGTCATAGTTTATTAGCTAGCTTAAATTTCATGAAGAAGACATAACGAGGAAACAATTCGTGAACTTCTTGATATTGCCTTCATACTCTGATTACTTGTTTTCTGGGCAAATGGCAACTAAACTATCAATTTTTCTTCCGTTAGGTCGATCTGGAAGAGCTGGGAGAAGTGGGGAGGCTATAACATTATACATTGAAGAAGACAAGCCATTCCTACGACACTTAGCCAATGTAATGGCAGCTTCAGGGTGTGAGGTTCCTTCTTGGATTCTAGCATTGCCCAAGCTCAGGCGCAAAAAGCACCGACCTCAGAGAGATGCAATATCAACCCTACCAGAAGACAATCCAGAGTAAAAAGCGAACATGCCATTGAAATGAGGGAAGATTTTCGTGGAAAGTATCTGAATGGTTCTGATGATTTCATCTGTTCATTAAGTTCTTGTTAGGCATAATTCCTATTCCAATGACTGGAGAGGCTGACGTTTCATCTCTTGGCAATGGCAGGCGCATGTTTATGTTTGAGAGAAGAGGGGCCTAAAAGGTTTAAGTGATATGTCTAAGGTTGTTCTTATATTTAATTTGTCAAAAAGTTGTTCTGCTTGTAGTAACTTGCACAAAAATTGAGAATTTTTGTATTATTAAATTATTCCCTGGAACAGTAATTTTTCTATTTTTATTTAAATACATGCTTGATGTAATTTGAATCTGGTTTGTTTTGATAACGGCTTAAAGTCTCTTCTACTACATCTAAATTCTGCAATTGTGATAAAGATTTAAGGATTATACTTGTATACCCTAACAGAGACAATTGAACCTTCAACCTTAGGAAGAAGATCATTCAAGAACTGGGAGTTTGTTTCTACATGAAATTTTTATGCTTATTGCGCAAGTAATGGAGGGGAGGATGAGAACTCAACTGGGAAGAGAAGAAAGCTAATTTTTTCAGAACTGTCTAGTTAAAGGATTTTGAGTTGCTAACGGAAGATATTGCTGGAATTACTGCTGTTTTCATCCTTCTTTCCTACTTCCTTTCAACTATTAAAAGGGAGGTATATGTGTAAAGAAAATCAACTCACCTAGTATTTTAAGTAGTGTGTTAAGAAACAGAATGTAAATTTAGCGAAGCCCTCAAATATCATCACTTCTTATATATTCAAATACACCTCTCTCAAGAAGAATTGCTGAAAACCAGTAACAAAGGAAACAGGAAACTTATCGATATTTCACACATCACGCACAGGGAATGAAGACGCTAATGACACAACATATGCATCAAAAGAAGTTTGAGCTCTCAAACTCTTCCAGTGGAGGGATACGTGGTGATCCCTGTGACTCCTGCATGGATTGCTCCTGTGCAAAGCAGCTGTGTAGCACTCAGGATGAAGGTCAGTGTCTCCATTGCCCTCTGCAAATTATGAAACATCCATGCTAATTGTAAGATATTTTGCACAAAAACTATCATACATTTTTTTACTAGACAAAATGACCATGACTTTTATTGTATTCAACTACCATATTTGAATGCTAGTTAAAATTGTTGTTACATGCTTTGTGTGTGACATGTTTTGGTAAATTTTGCCCCAATGCATACCCTTAAATCTATGTGGGTTGATAATATAAACAAGAGCTGTAGCAAAGATTTCCAACAGTTTATGATATTCTTTTGTAGCTTTAAAAAGTTTATGGCAGTTTTGTGCAAGGCCCCTTAAGTTCATGTATTTCATAAAATTTCCTACGTGTCAGTGTATCATATCATATCATTTTTGTGCCATGTTTATGTGTCTAATCCAACATATTAGCTAAGTTTGAGATGCATTTTTTTGATAGTTCTTCGCTTACCAGACTTGGAGCCCTAGGACTTATGGTGATCTCTTTCCAGGCCAACCTGCAAATATCATGAAAACGTTAATCTCAAGATATCTTCAAACAAGAAGAAGGTTAAAGAGTCAATTAATAATTACCCCATGGCTAAAAGTGTGAGTCCCAAAGCTATAACAGAAGAAGCCGAAGCTGATAACAAACTGGAAGCCCTCCATTCTAGCACATTATGCAGTCCACTGAGCGATGCAGCAATACCCACAAGCCCAGCAATAAGCGAAAACATTACGAAGAATCCTGTCGCAAGATTTCCAATAGGGTAGTATATCGGAAACAGCCTAGCTGGGAGTGTCAGGCTTTTCACTGCACAAAATTGAATCAGTATCTGAACCTGAGATTTACAATGAAATATCAAAAACTTTTAGTACCTGTATCAGGAGTTTCTTCGATACCATAGTTTAGAGCCCAAGCAGCAATGGCAGCAACAACTGCGTACATTATAAGATTGATGAAGAGGATGAGAGATGCTACAGATTTAGGACCCTGTGCCATTATGATAGAGGGAAATGAAGGATTTGGAATTAGATATGACTAATTTTGCAAGTTCATTGATAGATTTATATGTACAAGGGAATATGTTTTCTTTAGTATAAAGGAAAGGCAAACATCCCTTGCTGCTATAGGAGGTTGGTACTTTTCTCCAGTGGCAAGTGAAGAATAAGGTTCTGAAGCTGGAAAGTGATTTTTGAATAAAATAAGATGATCTGAAGAGAACTTTGAATGCTTGAGATGCATGCAGCTTTTGCTCATAAAAGACAATTTCAACTTTCATTGTTTCATGTTGTGCTTCTTACCCTGGACTAGTTCTTATTACACATTTGGATAAAGCAATGGTCCTTCAGGAAAGCATGAAACTTTTAATGATTTGACTTGTACAATTTATCCTCTAATAGAGCCGTTACTAAGTTTTATCTTAATAATGATATGAGGAATTTCTAATCCTATTTTCAACCAATACAAGTTTAGCCTACTTGACTCAAGATGATTAATATTCATTCCAAGTCTACGTTAATTTTGCTCCTGAAAGATTATAAATATTTGTAGTTCTATCGATTTCCCTTCTTTTGTTGGATGTAAATTAAGAAAAAAAATCAAGTGTATCTTCTAGAAATCATTGGACAAGTAATATTATTATCATGATTATTCCTGACTTGATTAAAAAATTTTACAGTACATAATTTGGCACTGGTACATCTTTGGTATATTCAAGTATTATCAGTTCATACTGATATCTTCAGTGCACTTGTGCTGAGGAAACCAGAAACTCTGAAGTAGAAACTTTAACCTATGCAAATGAGACAATAATTTTATCTAATTAATTTGATCTATTCCATGAATGATATACCAATCACAAACATAAGAACCAGAGGACAATACCCACAATGCAAATCAAAGCAAAGAAAAGATTAGGAGAGAGCAATGAACTACAATAAATAGTGTTCAAAGCCAGGCAGTCAGGCAATGCACGTAGAATATCTGGAATTCAACAAGATCCCTTTACAGAACAATGAACAAACACCAAGAAACGCTGCAGCGAGAAAATAAAAACCACAAGTACTGAAACGATTTATTTGAGGCAGCAATTTTCCTAATACTGTTCTATCTTCAGACTTGCAACTGCAATTTCTTAGCAGCAAGAGCCTCAGACTCGAGAGTTGGCTCATAGAGAATTGTTGTCTCAGCTAGCAGACCGGTAACCACATATGGGTCCATGTTTGAAGCAGGTCGACGGTCTTCCAAGTAACCTACAGAAGAATAATATAGGAAATAACAAATAAAATCAATCTTCACATACCGTCTTCATCACTGATATGCATGTATTCAAAGTACGTGCACAAACCTTTTCCTTGTTTCTCAGTATCACGACCTACACGAATAGAGCAACCACGATTTGCCACTCCCTGTCAATTGCATCGAAATTTTTGAGAAGTTCCCGTGAAAGATATGGGGAATAAAATTTAGAAAGGAGTTGAACATATTGTAGTATACCCATGAGAAACTGTCGATGCTGGCTGTCTCATGCTTTCCAGTCAACCTTCGCTCGTTTCCTTCTCCATAAGCACTAATGTGGTCTTTGTGGCGAAGGGATAGATTGAGAATTGCCTTCTTTATTACTTCATAACCTCCATCTTCCCTCATGCTCTTAGTACTGCAGTAATCGTACATATATTTATGCAACTTATGAAGAAGGATACTCTAATTATTGATCTTTCCTAGAATATATGTTAATTATAAATTCCAAGGGCCTGCTTACGAGCAATCTGGAGAGGAAGAAAATAAATTGATATTGAAACCTTTCTCTCCCCTTTACTTTTGTTCTTTTCACTCGATAATCTATAGTTTTAGGTTTAAACATAAGCTATTCAAACAGTTGTAATTAGGACCAGTTAAATATATGTGAAAATCCATTTCATGCTCTTATATATGACAAGTGCCAAATGACAGTTTCGAAGGTAGGAACCAAAAGATTTATCACGTAAAGTACCTGTAGTTGGTATGGCATCCTGCACCGTTCCAATCACCCTGCTCAAATAAAGTTATAGTTTCATTACAGAAAAAGAATTAGACATTATTTAACAATAAAACTATCACAAAATTCACACACACACAAACAGAGAGGCAAATGTAGATACCTCTATTGGTTTTGGATCAAGAGACAGCACGACGCCCGCTTGCTCAGTGATTCTCTACATAGAAAACCAATTAGAAAACAAATATCCAAGAATCTGAACTAGTAGCTACATGTGCATTCTCTTACATGTTACCTGATTTTAAAACAGAGATTTTCAAGAAAAATAACAAAAATCCATTTACATTTGGAAACTCTTGTGCATAATCGGATACAACGGATACAACCTTGACGCAAGTTTTGTTTCACGATTTATCTTCCTTATAAAAAGCACATTATTTATAATTACAAATTACTTACAATTAGGAGAGCAAACTATTTTTCCCACTTTAATGTTCTTTAACAATTTTATAGCAAATAAATATGGTTTGTATGAATTACCTCAAGGATGTATCTAGAACACCATATATGATCCGCTGCATCAATACCTACACTAGGTCCAACTTGATATTCCCACTGCAGAAATCATGAAAATTGATGACCTTACTTATTCAATAAAATGGGATAATATGACAAATTAGAGGACTATGTATACTCATTAAGATCATCAAGAAGATGGAAATCACCTGACCGGGCATAACCTCCCCATTTGTACCACTGATGTTGATTCCGGCATACAGACATGCTTTGTAATGAGCATCTGATATGTCACGGCCAAAAGATTTGTCTGCCCCTGCTGCACAGTAGTATGGTCCCTGACAATTTTAGTGTAGAAACGTCAATCTGTTCTAAATCTTTGAGATAAAACTAAACAACGTGATCATTGTCTGAGTAGAATTTTTCCATGAAAAAAATGCTAGTTTTGACTTATCGAAGAATGAAGTCATGAACTGCAACACAAATAACTGTGATGCTAACTGTACAAGAAAAGACTTTACTTGATTCTGATTCGTTTCACTAACTGGCAGAGTTGTAATTCTACAATGTACGCGTGTGAACTAGCTCAACCAATTTCGTATCCTATTTTTCCCCTCCCTAAGTTGACGCCACCCTCTAATTTCCCATGAATGCACTCTTTTCTAATTCAGCCATTTGTCATATTGCCAGTTTACAAGGACAGCCGTTTTTCATGCATGTTATTAATTAACAGCCAAACATAGTTTTCCTTTCATTCTATTCCACACCATAAAATCTGAGAAGGGTTATATCTGAACCATCCTGGATGAACCACAGACAACACCCAATCAACAAGCTTACAGTCGATGCTAAAATAAATGGAATAATGAATCACTCTTAAGAGTGAAATATTTGTTATGACATGAAAGAGCTATAAGCCTAAGTTATATCACTTGGGTTGGGGTTTTTTTTTTTTTTTGGTGGGGGGGGGGGGGGGGGTTCTATTAGTCCTCGCCTATTCCCTATTTATATCAACAACAAATTTTCAAAACCGACCCTTTTCAAAAATATTTCCAAAATACGACCTGTTTCAACAATATTTGTCAAAACCGACCTAGTTTTAGCCATCGGGCTGAAACTAGGTCGGTTTTGACGAAAGAAGTTCCCAAACTTCACGGGACTTGAAGTCCCGTGAAGTTTAGCACCCATTTAATTAAGCTGCTAAACTTCACGGGACTTCGTTTCAGCTCTGAAGTTGTTTTGAACTATGAAACTTCACGGGACTTGAAGTCCCGTGAAGTTTAGCAACTTAGTTAAATAGCTGTTAAACTTCACAGGACTTCAAGTCCCGTGAAGTTTCATATTTTTTTCATCAAAACCGACCTAGTTTCAGCCCGACGGCTGAAACTATGTCAGTTTTGACGAATATTGTAGAAACGGACCGTTTTTTGGAATATTTTTGTAAATGAGACTGTTTGAAAATTTGTCCTTATATCAAAATGGCATATTTTGACTTAATTTGAAGACACTATTTTTATCTAATCATGGACTCATTAAGTAGCTGTGTTCATAATAAGAAAAGAAAGAGAAGAAATCCAAAGATAGATGTAATTACCTGAGGACCTGGGTATCCACCCACTGGCCAGCCTAGAGGCCACTTCACATCTTTCTGGAGTAGGGTATACTCCTGTTCAATTCCAAACCTACAAAGATTGGATAATATTATAAGATACTATTTGATTGTACCAGAATTATGTATAATGTTACAGTTAAAGTTCTGACCATAGAATTGACTATAGACCCAATATATAACAAGCCTCTATTGTTAGAAACTTACCAAGGAACTTCATCAATGACCTTCTGGTCACCAAAGATCTGTGCAGCTCTATGACGCTTGTTGGTAGGAATTGGCTCTCCACTTGGTGTGTATGCATCACAAATTACCTTCAAATAGTCATGTAAGTTATGAATAATTAAAAAACACTAGAAATCGGCAAGGCCTTTTTTGTAATATCACTCAAATTTGGTTCAGATATTCATCCTAATGTATAATGACATTTAGATTTAACAAACTAACCAGTATATTGTTCCCTCCTCGAAAAGGGTCCTTAAAGATTGCTTGAGGGCTGCAACACATATAGCAATCAGTTAAAAAATGATGAAATAATTTTTAATTTCCTCTAAACTAAAGGACTTCGTACACGTTTGTTCCTTTTAAGGGAAAAACTAGAGAAATATATGTATCTTATTTTCTTCATTTAACAGAGAAAAGCAGCAATTATTACTATAGGATGACTTCACTGTCTTCTCCTGGAGCTTGCCCAGTGCTCGATCCATCATAATTCCACTTTGGCAATTCTGATGGGTGCTCCACGGGCTTAGATATTGTCTGAAAATAATATAGACACAAGTGAAAAGTGACAATTAGTAAAATTTTAGTATCTCACAAATAAAATGAAGCATTTTCCCTTCGTATGGGAAATAATTGTATTGCTCACCCTCGATTTGCTGCGAACATCAATGCCAGTCCCTCCAATCCTAGTAAAATAAAACATCTTATTTAGCCTCTCAAATTATCAACAAGACATCAACTTATATTACATCTACTAAAATTGATAAATATCTCAAATACTTGATTATATAGAGAATCATTTTTTTTTCAAAATGTAGCTCTTGGCCAAAATTACTAGCTGAAAAATCATTGCACATACGTCTCTTGGATAATGTATTTGATGATGGAGTTACATACCAAATGTACTCTGCGATGATTTTATCAGTGAACGGTTTGGTGTCCAAATTCAGCAGACCCTCCAACCTTGAGACTGTACCATTCTCGGACTGTACAGCAAAAACTTTGAACGAAGAGGAGTACTTCTTGGCCTTGGGTCTCTGAGAGTTCAATAGGAGAGAGTTCCAAGATTTGTTGTTTAGAGAAGTCCTGGATTGAATGGAGTTGCTCAGGATTCCCATTTGGCATTGCACCGTGGGCACCAATGTCTGTGCCATTTTTCCGGGATTTCTCTCTTCAACTGCTGAGATGAATGTGCAAGTTCACCTAAGAGTTATAAAGCGTTTAATAGGGTTAATTGTAGTTGACCCCTGTACTATCATGTACTATCGTCCAATTTGCGGATACATACCCTGTGTGAAATTTACCCTGAGCTGTCATTTGTCAAAAAACAATTTTCTCTTACTCAGATGATAAAATAGTCAAAAAATTTCGCTCAGGGGTCTATCTGCAATTGAGCGATAGTATAGGCGGCCTATCCGCTATCTTGTAGGTTACCACAAGCCATTTAGCAAAGAAAGGATGCATCATTTTGGGTGGGTTTTTTTTTTTTTTTGTGGGGGTTGGGGGTGGGGGGAGTGAATGAATGAGGTTTTACCACAAGCATGTTTTTCAGGGAACTTTCAAAGATTCAAACTTATAGTAATTTAGTCAACCATAGGGAACACAGATGAAGGTCTAAATATAAGACTCTAGGTTGTGACATACTCTTGTTCATGAATAACATGGGATCGAAGCGGGTCTTTGATTTACATTGTTTTCAAGCCAAGCCATCTCTTTAATACCAAAAAACATTTTATGGGACAATTTAGTCTCTAAGTTTTGGCGCATCCAACTTAGATTAAAGGAATCAATATTCGTATGTATACTATATCTTGTGATAGTAGACCTTATATCTCAACGCAGCAATGAAAATATGGCGAAAGAGAGAGGAAAAAAGAGAAGGAATACATCCACGAGCTCAGATTCTGCAGGTTCACTAAAAGAATATTAAAATCACCTTCAGAAAATCTTTAATGGAAAAGATTTAATCTCTTTCACTCAAAAGTATAAACACCTAGTCTTCAGAATAAATATATCACGAGAATATAGTTCTAAGACCAAATGGCACATTAGGATGGAATACAATTAACCGATAAGATTTTCAAACAATTATCGGGTACTTTTAAGATCTCTACAAATGAGAGTAAACGATAAATAAATAAAAATCGCTGAAACCACAAAATTTAGGATTGTGGACTCGGAAGGATGCACGCTAAATTTTTTTTTTTCCATAACTGGAATGCCCCTCATAAGTAACTGTTGGTGATCTAAAATGGGAAAAGAACTGAGGGCTCAAGAAAGTACCTGAGACTCGACGCAGGAGTCCTTGAGGAGAGCAGCAGAGAGTTGACGAGTGAGAGGAGCAGCAGAGATGGCAGGCTTCCTCTTTTGTTTCCTTTTTTTTTTTCAATTTGTTTTAAGTTTGGGCTGATGATGTTTTGGTGCGTAGTGCAAGCTGGCCATAAATTAAGGATGACTGGCTTTTGCTGATCGGATAGGGTTGGGGTCCTTGTGTGGTAGAGAAAAGAGCCCTTGGAGACGGTGAGGAGAGGGGGTTTTTAGATGAATAAGATAAAGGTTTAGTGGCTGTTTGTTTGCCTAAAAAAATTGGGAAATCAAAGAATAGGAAATCAAAGAATATGAAATCTTGTATTATGGTTGTTTGGTTGGCTAAAAAAAAGAAGGAAATCAAAGAATAGGAGATGAGATAAGATGAGTTGTCACCGTATAATTGGATGATGTGAGTGATTTTTTAAAAAAACTTGTTTTGAGATTGTTTGATTGGTTAAAAAAATAAGAAAATGTATTATAAGAAACATATTTCCTATAATAGTTTCTTTCTTGTGTTTGGTTCATTCTTAAAAATAAGAAAATAGATGAGATGAGATGAGTTGTTTGTATATTATTGGATGATGTGACACACACTTAAGAAAATCAATTTCCGTGTTTTTTTTTAGGAAATGGGTGGAAATAAAATGTTAATGAGATGAGATGAGTTGTCACCATATTATTGGATGATGTGGGTGATTTTTAAATATGAGATGAGATGAGTTGGATGATGTGACCCATTTTCTTGTGTTTGGTTTATTTTTAGGAGATGATATGAGATGAGTTGTTGGACGAAAATAATATTTTATTGGATAAAATGGATGAGTTGTTAGATAAAAATAATATTTTATTAGATGTTGTGGTGAGTTTTAGGGATGAAAACGGAGAAAATTGATGTTTTTGAGATTTCCGTGACTCAATTTCCTATTCTTGATTTTTAGGAAACCAACCAAACAGCCCCTTAGTGACTTATTTTGTCCTTGAATACTTGCACATGTATCCTCTAATTGTGTTCAATTCTCACTCTTGTTCATGGACCAAAGCTTAAACTTGCTTTGATTATAGGGTCAGTTTTTTATTTAGAACCGGTCCGTCGTTCCTCGGGTAAGGAAGAACTCAAACCAGTCTAAGCTAAAATCGATTTTATGAGAGAGTTGTCGAATCGAGCCTTGTATTCTTTAGATCATTTTTACAAGCATTTGTATCTTTCAAACTCTAAAACGGTATTCTTTTCCTGTCAAATCGAGATGTTAATAGCCTGTTTGGATGGAGGGTAGAGAAGGCGAGGGGAAGAGAAATCTAATTTTAATCTTTGTTTGGGAGTTCCATTTAGGAGTGTGGAGGAGGGGAATGAGGGGGGAATTTGAGCCAAAATCTTTCACCCCAAATTAGAGTGTAACGAAGGGGAAGGGAAGGAAGGATAACTTTTCTTGTGCGTAAATCATTCTTGTTCTTAGCTTAAAATGAAAAGGACTATATTGATATGTAAATTGAGGGCAAAAAATCAATATCATCTAGGATTCAGAAAAATAACTACTAATAAAAAGTTTAGGAAGTATAAGATAATACGAAAAATGAACGTCTGCAATTAACACTTTCTTACATATATATGGCGTATTAAAGTTAAATTAGTGATCACACTGAGAACATTCACTTGCAATTAACAAGTTTAAGATGTTAAGTTTCAACAACTAATTAAATGGGTGGGGTGGTTGGTGAATGTGTGGCATTGAGCCCAACCGCCAAGCTTAATTAGAATGATGCTTTTTGGTTGGCTCTTAAAGGGATAAAGGGATGAGCAGTGGGGACAATCAAAGCTGCACTTTTGGAACCATTTTATTCTACTACCACAGAAATATTTTTGGAGGGGCGAAAAAAAAAGAAGATGATTAGATAAGATATGAGTTTATGATGATGGGTTCTTTTTGCTTGGCTCAACTCAATGTTGCCCAAGCTTGGGCTTGCTGACTTGAACAGTCTTGTAACTTGAAATCCTTTGCCTAACTTAGGTGCCTTACTTAGGTACTCCAATGTATTGTGCACCCATTTTGTGCTTGTTTTGTATGGTCTACTAACATATTGAGGTTCAGAAATAATCAATGCTGTAACAATTCAACTTTTGCTACAAACATATTATGATGTGGCTTAGTGCTCTATTACTTTTGTTTTCCTTCTAGGGCATGTTTGTTTCGTCAAAAAAATGTAGAAAGTGGCACAAAGTAACCCATCAGAAAACTGACGCAGGGAAAATTTGTTGTTTTCCCTCACAAATGGATGTTTGGTTCGCAAAAAATAAAAAAGAAAGTGAAGGAAAGAGGGGGCGCCACGTCAGACTTTTCCCCAAAAAATTTTAGCTCCAAAACGCCCGATTACGGAGGAAAACCCCACTTTTCCCTCTTCGTAAAAAAATCCTGAATCTCCACCCCCTTCTGCCAGCTCATTTTGTTCACCCCTCTCTGCATCTTTCTCCCTCCCGTCCCTCTCTCCCTTGTGCCCGAATCAACCAAGATTTTCCTCCTTACCCTTCCATCTCGCTTTCCAATCTATGGCTCGGCCTCTTCTCCCGCCGCGGCCTCCCCTCCACCCACGCCCTCTTTGGTGTCGACATTGCCGTCCTCACTGGCGATGCCCTCCTCCTCCTCGCCCTCCACCACCTCACCTACATATTTCTAGTTTGATGGAATTAAAGTGAAACATGTATGCATATTTTGTGTTATAATAATGGACTATTTTTAAGATTTGCAGTCAAAGTTTATAACAGCAATATATTGGCAAGGCAATATATTGTAGCCAACATTGCTATTATATATTGCATGGCGAGGCAGATAATGAATAAAAGGGCCTTATCTGAGCACATTTTTTAAGTGTTGAGCTTTTCTTAACTGGGATCCAAGTTTTGAATTTCTTAAGTGTTGAGCTTTTCTTAACTGAGACATTTAGGTTGAAAATGTCTGCATGGTTTGCTGATAGTTTGTATTTGCGACATGGATCTCTCTGCTCTAATTTGGAATCTAGGGAATGTCTGCATGGTTGGAAATGTCTGCGTGGTTTGTTGCTTGACCTTTGTTTCAATTGTGTGCATGGTTTCAACATTGCTCTCGGCCTTAGTTTCAGCTCCTGGGTTGGTTATGATGTTGGTTTCAATTGTGTCCTTTGGTTAGGCTTTGGTTTCCGTCCTTATTTGGCCTTTGGTTGGTCAGCTATGGTTTTACAATTTTGGTTTCAGTCCTTGTTTGGCATTCGTTTCAATTTTTAACATGGTTTCAGCCTTGCTCTCGGCCTTGTTTTCAGCTCCTGGGTTGGTTATGAAGTTGGTTTTAGTTGTGTCCTTTGGTTGGCTTTTGGTTTTAGTCCTTGTTTGGCTTTTGGTTGGTTAGCTATGGTTGGCCTTTGGTTTCAGTCCTTGCTTGGCCTTTGTTTCAATTGTGTGCATGGTTTATGCCTCGTGAGTTCTAATTTATACCATGTTAGTTCTAATTTATGCCTCGTGAGTTCTAATTTGTACCATGTTAGTCCTAATTTATGTCACGTTAGTTCTATCGTGGCTCATGTTAGTTCTAATATATGACATGTGAGTTCTAATGTATGCCTCGTGAGTTCTAATTTGTACCATGTTAGTCTTAATTTATGCCATGTTAGTTCTATCGCATCTCATGTTAGTTCTAATTTATATCATGTGAGTTCTAATTTATGCCACGTGAGTTCTAATTTGAACCATGTTTGTTGTAGTTTATACCATGTTAGTTTTGTCATGTCTCATGTTAGTTCTAATTTATTTCATGTGAGTTCTAATTTATGTCACGCGAGCTCTAATTTATATCATGTTAGTTCTAAGTCTCCCTTTTAATTTCAACTCATCTTCCTTTTCAACACATACATACTTGGTTTGCAACACTCACTCTGTGGCATCGACCCGGACAATTACGAGCTATTTTTGATATATATTAAAAAATATACCAAGCTTTATACCAATGTGTTTTACCCCATCAACAGGATTATGTGACAGTTCTTTGTTGGGCTTGTTGCAGAACTTTGTGAATGCGTTTTACCCCATTAGTCGTGTGCTTGCCAAGTGTGTTTCCAGCCAATGTTGATCTCGGCCTTGCTTTCAGCCTTGGTTTGGTTTCCTTTGTGCTGGCTATTTGTGCATTACATGCTGGTTTTCATAACTTGGTACTTGGTTGTTAGTTCCTGGTTATATGACCTAGTGCTTGGTTTTTAGTTATTGGCATTGGCTGTTATTGGCATTGGCTGTTATGACACTGATAATATGATATTATGCTTTGATGATGGCCGGATATATAATGTATGCAACCAAAGTTTATACTAGTAATCAATTGGCGAGGAAATAAATGCAGCAAACATTGCTATTATAAAATTTCATGGCGATGCAGATAATGAAGAAAATGGCCTTTTTTGAGCACATTTTCTATAAATCGTGTTAAGTTTTGGTTTGGTTTTAATCTTGGCTTGTTTGAGTCTTGGTTTCTCTCGAGTTGGTTTCAGCCTTGATTCAGTCTTGAATATTACATGCTGGCGATCGATGTACTTGTAATCAATTGGTTGTTATGACATTCAATTATGTGTTGTTCATTGAGCATTTTGGTTCTTCGTTATATGAGATGATTATATGATTTTGGAATTAGCCCCTCAAATCTTTGAATATGTTGCAAATCACTACCTCAAAACTTTTTTAAAAATTGTAAATTAGTCCCTCAAAATTTTAAATATTTTTATGTGACGGTTGATATATGTTCACCTCTCAATTTATGTTGAAAATAATATTATGCTATAAGGGTGGTAAGCACACCATGTTAACCATAGTCATACTTTCTTCTTTTTTTTATTTGAACCAAACACTAGAAAGTGAGGGAATCTATTCACACATCATTTGTTTTCTTCTTTTTTTAAGTTGAACCAAACTAAGAAAAGTGGTGGAAAGTACTTTTAGCCCATATTTTTTGGCGAAACAAACACAAGAAACACTTTCCAAGAAAGTGAAGGAAACACAAAAAAATGAAGAAAAATAGGTTTTGAAAAATGAAGGAAACGAACCAAACAAGCCCCTACCTAAAAGGAGCAAAAAGCATATTCTTTACATTTAGGGGTTGTTTGGTTCGTTTCCTTCACTTTCTTGTGTTTCCTTCACTTTCCTGAAAAATGT